CATACGTTGACCTCTACGTGGATCGTGGAGTGTGACACGCTCTGCGACGAGAATGCAGAGCAACCATTTCGAGAACGGTCCTTGAAATTTCCATCATTGTTTTTTTTCCATAGCATTTAATAGAGAATCGTTCCCCTTGTGTTGTGGTTGTGCAAAATCACCTGTCAACATTTTTCGCAATTTTTGGCCTCGCATTAGATAATTAGTTCAGCGCCTCGATTATTGACTATGGCTTTAAGCGGTAATCATCCGGTTACGACCGCTTTCTTCCCCTTGGAATGGTTGATGCCCACCACACTTTACGAATATTTAGTACATGTTTGCAGAAACAATCTATGGCCTGTAGATGGTTTTCTCTTCCAAACAGGAAAAAATGTGGTAGGCCTACCCGGGTGCACCTCTTGCTGTAATGCCTTTTTATTCTTCCAACTGATAACTGGCACGTTCAAGGAACAAATATTATGGCTGAATATTGGTGAAAAATACTGAAGGTGCAAATTAAGCGGAAGGCAACTTCCAATTTTCATTGCCCTAATTATTACATAAGACTTTTCAAGGCGACAAAAATAATGGAAACTATTTTATACCATTGTGCAAACCAACTATTGTAGGTAATGATTGAAATACAAACGAAGTAATTGGAGCTGACCTCTAACTGTTACATTGTGTTAACTCTTGACATCCATAGGGATATCGCAAGTTAGCTGAAACCAGTTATTAAATGATGTTTCGGGTCGTGTGTCATTTATCACGGCGTGAGGGACAGGTGCGCCCAAGCACGCCACGGGATGGGATCTTTGCAGATCTCGAGTTTTCGAATTTTCCTAGTGTCCTCCTTCTTCGATTGAAAAAAGCGCTCTCAGCAGCGGACAGAAAGAGAGATTCCTCATTGTGAAGATTTCTGAATATTCTAAAAGCGCATTCTTTCAGGACTGCAGACGACTTTGAAAGTAAATCTACGAGATGGACTCAAATTTCATGAGTTCTTTCCGAACACGACGAAAAGTTGCTTTGGTATTAATTGTTTTCCTGAGTGAAGCCTGATGAGCTGATAGAATGACTTCTGCCATAAATTTATTTGTTTTGCAATGTAAATTGCAAATTCAAGCAGTGGGAAAAATAGGCCGAATTGCTGAAATGGGCATCTCAAGTGACATGAGTGCGGAAGGGATCTTTCCATGTGAGCCAGACTCTTTGGAAGCATGGATGCTGTTTGAAAATCGTTTAGTACCCTTCTTGGAGCTTTCTAGCGTATCGAAATGAAGGAGAGGCAGCGTTTACTCCGTGATACTGAAATTGTTAGGGTCGGTGTTTTTTTTACCTCCTCCTACTCCTGGAGAAATGCCAAGGAATCTATTAACCTCTGAATTTGTTGGTTTTTTTCAGGTAACATGGTAGCGATCGGGGCTCAGAAGATGACTGGTATTCTTGGTGCAAGTGATATTATTGATCGATATCGAGTGACTTGGCCTGACCCTCAGCACAGCAGCCTGGCAATGTGTGTGATGTTGTCGGACCGATACTGGCCACCCTTGGACTCCGCCCACCCAGCTAAGACGTGAAGACAAGCCGGCACAGAGAAAGCGGGAGAGAGAGCGTTGACTCTCGAGAGTTCCGCACTCTTTCCGCTGATGCTGCTAGATCGTTCTCTGTTTTTCCTCAGGCTTCCGACAACTCCATTTTGTTCGTTGTGTGCACCTTCCAAGCACCGCAATTTTACGTTCTTTTCATTCTTTGACCAAATAGCGGCAAATTTTGCACTCTTCCTGAACCCCACTTTTATAATCAGTAATCTCGCGACGATATCAGGTCGGGCGAGTGTCGTCGTTTTGAATCGAGCGTTTTTCATAGTGGTCGTTACCGTCTGTTGTACGCGCGACACTAAAGCCTCCGACGCCGCGGTCATAATATTGAAATCGCTCGACAATTGCCCTTCAACGACGGATTCAGAATTCTCACGGGGCAGGCGTAGCACTTGAATGATACGCAAGCTTCCTGCCTGAGGTCTCAATGCTCATGTTGGATCCTACTGCTAGCCTCTGACCTTAGTTTCGTTCCTATCTCATACCTCATAATTATAGTGTGCATAGTTTTTAGCAACATTTTAGTCCTGTTACAAAACGCTCTCCCAGTCGTTGCACTCGAATCTCAACGAGGAGAATTTCAAGTTCAAAGAAGCTAGTAATCACGGTCTAGTAATAACGTTTAGCCGTCTTTCAAAGCATTCATGCTGAGGAGTGACAAGGACTGAACCATACGTGTGCATCCCTTCAATAGATACTCTCCGTGTTACATCGCTCTGAACTGGGACACCTGTGGGTGCTTTATAAAAAGCCCAAACTCACAGTTTTATATAGTTAACGAGAACCACTATGCGTAATTTTTGGCTGTTTGTGAAGATTAAAATTGCCCAACTCATCCCCTTGACTCTGATGCTCATTTCTGAGAAGCCATCCGTGCATAGGTCTCTACTACAAACGTACAATTGAGGTATTCTTATCTGTGCCATGGAATGTGCTGAAAAGATGGTTTTGTGTGATATCGCATGGCCAGCCTATATCCACTTGTTTTTTCTCAATCTCATCCCGACCTCATTATATCCCCTTCGCGGGGCTTGTGGGGCTTTTAGCCCCTTTTCTCTTCAGCTCATCATATCTGGTGACGATGAAGCTACTCATGCTGTGTACGTCAATCTATTTCGCTTGAGTAGACCGGAAAGCCATAGAACGCTTCAAGTGGGCGATCAGGGTCGTTACACCGACGACCATATGTCGAACTGGGGTTTTGTCACGCACTCATCCAGTTGGCTTCATCTTAAACCCGACTTCTCTGCGCCGTGAATCCGTCTCACAATTTGTCATTTTTCTCGGACGCAACTTCAGTGTCTTACAGCGTTTTATTACTAGTTCGCCTGTCACTCATAAATATGACTGCACCCATGACATCTCCAAAGGTTGTCGTGGCAATGTCACTGGCACGGCCACCCGCTACGCACTCAACCAGCAGTCCAGCAACTTGCCAGTCGTGTTACGGTCCAACCACCGCAAAGTCATACAACAATGACTGCCGTCGCCGTTCTACCATTGACATTAATAGGTGATGAAACTGGCGCCAGAGGCGGCGACAGCTATTCTCCTTCTAGTCCAAGTCGCACTATATTCGGGCCTCATGTTTTGCCATTCTGAGTGTCTGTCGCCTCTGTGTCTTCGCATTGATTGTTTCCTGTTGTGGCAGCATAGGCGCAGCATGTTGATTAGGTATCCATCGGTGCTTTTGATGGAACCGAGCTATCGCCCAAACATGGGGCACCTACTCAAGGCCCTTCCTACAAACCATTCACAAGCGGTCTCGATAGTCTTGCTGCGCTTCGCGTTCCACCTTTTTCACGAATTTTTGTTATTGATTCTTGATACGAAAATATGACCATATATTCTACTACATTGTTCAATTTATCTGTAGTGCGATCAACAAGATGAGCGTACGAGAGCTGGGAGCGAGAATGGGGGGCGCGGCCGAGTCGTCCGAGAGGTTTCAATAAATATAAAATTACGGGGCACCAAGGCGGAGCAATGCACCGCCGCGCGTTTCACTTTGCCTTAGCCCATTTCAATCTGCACTCATTACGAGCTTCCTGCCCACCGACCTTTCTTGCCGTCTTTTCGCTCTATTATAGCATTTCATTTCCGAGCTTGAATGCACTTAATGGGTAGGTCCGGTTACCGATGCCCTCAAAGGGGACATGTCGCTTCCTCTGACGTCTGTTGTCCTCTGGTTGAGCAGACATTGCTGAGCCAAACACTTGACACCTCATATTGTTTCTGAGTAGGCGAATGCAATGTGGTTTTCTTTGCCTATTCTCCTCCTCCTCCCCTCGCTCATATCTTCGTCGCTCTTGCACTTCATGCTGCAACTTTGCAAAGGGAAGTTCATTGCTTTGGTTGAGATTTAGAATCGTGGGCGTAGCCGACTCTCATAGGCAGTATTCAAATGAGGGTTGTAGCTAGTATCTGGGCTCAATGAAGTGGAGAGAGCTCATGAAAGACTGTCTCTTGGAATTACTCAACATGCATCATCGCCTTTTTCGTATACAACCAAGGCGATAATGTTTTCCCTTGGCGCCGGGCGGTGATTTGCTCTTTTGTCTTCGATGATGGCATGATTCACTCTGTATGCGCAAATCGTAACGTTCTTCCCTTCGTTTTTCTTCTTGTGACGTAGGCCCGCTACGCTCACTCAGCGTTCTTGACGGGTGGCAGAATAGAAGACGATTTCAGCCATGTTACGGGCTATAGTCAATTTGATGACTGGTATGGGAACCTTTGCAAAGAAAAGGTCGCTGCTGATAACTTTCTTTGATTCTGAATGCATTGTTTGGTTTCCTTCCCGTTTCTGTTCTGGTTTTTGCGACTTTGAGTGTTCCTGGCAAAAGAAATGAACGAACGTTTTTAGTGTGGGGAAATTATCGTTGACGGGAGCACCAGGGATACCTGTTCAAGCGCGACCATTTTCACATTGAACCTCTTGCGGTTCGGCTCTTTCAGGGGTCGTGCTGGGCTTCCTTCAAAGGATTACTTAGGGGTAACCCCGCTTTCTGGCTGCAGGAAGATTCGAGGATGGAATAACCAAAGAACGGGTCTTTCCATTAGGCTGTTCATAGACAGTTTTGAAAGCCTCTTTTCTGCTCCTTTATTGGATATGAGAAACGGCATTTAGACATGTAATTTAATTTCTACTCGAAATGCCTCAGGGAAGGTTTGATAGAAGCCTCTTCCTTGCGAAAAAAAAACCGTTTCGAAATATTATCCTGCCTTTCGTTCTCTGCTCACTACGCATCTTTCGAACTCTTTTTTTTATCTCTCGATTCGATATCAAAAGGTTGTGGAGGTTCGTGTCAGAGGTGTTTTGCTTTCAGATACGGACGTTATTAGTTGGTACCCTTCGTTTAGTCCGGTGGTGGCCACAACGTGTTGCGCATTGATCGCCAATGAAGTTCTGAGGGGATGTTGGCTCGCCAGCCGGCAGAATTACCGCTGTCGTCGATGGAGGGACCGAGTTTCGGATGTGCAACTGCTGTGAGTGGCCTGCTAACATCGACGTCGACGACGAAGGCGACATCCTCCTCATTAACCCCTGAAGCACGTGACGACAGCGGTGTGTCAACGATGGAATCGGTCTGCAGTAAGGAGTTCGAGTTGAACAGCACTCCGGCGAGGACGGCTGTGCAGACATTGTCTGATATTCTGCTTTCTGAACATAATAATAATTATGCGGGTAGTATGGACGTGGTGAAACTGTTGCGACTGCGTTCCGTTGATGACGAGCAGAATCAGCAGTCAAATTCGTCGAGTCTTGAATCGCTCTCTTCACTGGAAAATCACCAAGGTACGCTAGTTTGAGTTACTCATAAGATGGGTTGGGATCACGATTCCGACAATTGCAACCCTCGAATTGTTCATTTTAGGTAGTCAGGACCCCGACGGCGATGGCGGCTCCGGATCTACCTCGTGCTCAGAAGACTCGTTTGAGATGTCAAGCACGTGTAGCGTTCGTGACACCGATGTATCGCCTGAGGAGTTGTCGCCGCGCAAAGGTGGGCGGTACATGTATTCACTTGGCGCTGCGCCCCTTGAATTATTCAGTAACACTATGGATAAAGGCAGAAAATGAAGTCGCCAACTTTTCAAGTTGATTAGTTCTACTACATGATTTCAGAAGTGAGACGTCTTCCACAAGCGGTTACCTCTACAAGTCGAAATGTGGATCGGGAATCACGGGAAACCACATGCGAGTCATTCAGCTCAGGAGGTGCGCCAAGTGCCAGAATGCTTCACTCATCAGTTTATTAGGAATCATTGTCAAATGACTGTTTAATTATTAGCAAAGGGTATCAATTAATAGTGTAACCGTTTAGACAGCGAACCAAATAACTCTACCGCCTCAGCTAAAACTCTGTTGTATGATAAGGAATCGACAAACAGGTGAGAACATTTTCTTTTTTCAAAGATATTTCATTATTTATCATTTGTTAAGAGTTGTGATAGTAGGCAGCATTGCTGGCCATCTGTAACTTTTTTTTGAATCAGAATTTTAAGTTTTTCTTGCGTATCACTTCAAGCCGGCTTCGAAAGTCACCTTACGGTTCGGCGTGGAGCGTTCACTTCGAGAAAGAGAGATTGGGACCATATCTGAGATGACAAAAAGCCTAGAGAAACGGGGAGCTCCAATTTATGGTCAATTTTCTAGAAAAGTGAATGGAATTTCTGAAAAATGAATGAGGGCGTGATATGAGGCTTTCTGGACCGAATTCCTATGCCTTAAAATCCCGGTTGGTCGTGATGAGTCCCATTGGCTGTCTGAAGTGTTGTCCAAGGAAAAAAGTTGTTGGAATTAGACCAGAAACGGTACTTGGAGATTGGGAACTCGTGAGGTTTCGAGAGATGATGACCGTGAGAAGTTCGGTAGATTTTGGAACAAGAATGATATTGCGGTTTACTTCTTGGATCCAGCTCGATAGCTTTGTGAAATCCTTGATTACTCTCAAGAGGCAATTTTTCCCTGAATTCAGCTTACAGAAGTTTACATTTCAATTTTTTCCGAAGCTGAGGCACAGAAAGCAATTTGGCACCACGCATCGTGCCTTGTTATGCTCATGGGCGCTTATTTGTAACTCCAACTAGAATTGTCCTCTTTTGTTTACTTTATTATCGTTTATTCCAAGCCATACATTGCTTAGCTCCTTTTTGCGTAAATATTCCTTTGTGCAGTCACTACTACTCTCTTCAGATATTCAAATCTGGTTTTATTTCGACAACCGCCGAGCTCTATTTCTATGGACTCATTCATGCTCAAAAACGCTAATATGACAGCTATACGTGAAAGCATCAACTTGGAGTTACAGAATCTTGATACCGGTATGGTTCTAAGTAGTAATGATGTTTTTCATTTGTTCTGTAGACAAGTTTAAATTGAAAGTCAGGGATAGACTGCAGTGCTGGGCGTTTTTCAGACCTGAGCTGTGTTTCAGGTCTTCCGAACTTGGACTTTGCCAAATTAGAAGAGCAGCTCACCAACGCGGCACGTGAACGTGAGGAGCAGGATCGCAAGCTGCTAGGCGAAGAGGTATTGACCGTTTGCCGGAGTCTTTTGTGGTTATTTGATACCACCATTAACCAATTGTTCAACCGGAACATTAGATCCTTGAATTTGATGCTCTTCTTAAGGCTATGGCAGGGAATGCTTGTAAATTGAGGTAACCGATTGAAACTTGATTCTCCTCTGTTTTCCAACGTTCCAAGGAATTTTTTCAGAGGTACCGAACAATCAAACAAGTCTGGGAGGGTCATATACAAAACTTCACGCAAAATTTAGCACTGCAAGAGTAAATGACAACTTTTTATTTTTGAGGTAGCTTAATGTTGACTGTTTCGAAAAGCTATCACAAAAGAATCAAATTTCGTGTCTGATCCCCACTTCTCGAATTTCTAAGATTCATTTTCTGCAATCTTGTTTGGCACGTTTGAGCTCAGCGGTTGCTCAAACCAGCCCCATATTCGACGCCTTCTACAATCGGCTTTTATTTTTCGCAACTCTTTGGATCCTGTTATTAGGAAAATACGAACGTTTGGTATTGTTCCGATTTCCGGTAAATGAATACACCTTTCAAATTATGTGTGCTTGCCTCTGAACTTGCGTGCTTTTCATGGAAAACTCGTTCTCCTAACTCCTTCCAAGAAGTAGGAGCATGCACCTCTCACCTTTCGTCAACTTGGACTGTCATCGGCCCCCTATTACTCGAACTGAAATTTACTGCAAGTTGTACTGTATGATCCATTAATTTTTTTGCGATGAGTAGAATGACATGTGTGGTACGCCTTGTGGAATTGAGATTGGACCATTATTGAAGAAATGAAATGTGATCCCTTATGGCAATTAGACTCCGTAAAATGCCGTGAGCTGTTTGTTCGGAGGCGCACGTTTCGTAATTCGTCCACTAAACATCGGGAATAGATTTTGATGTCTTGGGGTATTTATGCGAGCTTACATACACGTGCTCTATCAGAAGCAGACTTCAAGTAAAGTTCGATTGTTCTGACAAATCCCACCTCCTGTTCCATTTTATGTACACTGGTGGAGGCGATCTATCTCAGCACATTCGTTTGGGGAGATCGTAATCCAGTCCGCGTTATTTGTTTTTTTTTTCGAGTCGTAAAGGGACCATTTATGTACGTTCCACTCTCTCATTTCGAGCACTTAAGATTGCCCGAACTCAGTCTCTTAATTTCCGTTCTGGGATTGAAGGGGAATGAAAACGAAAAAAGAGCAAATCTGTTGTATAAGGCTTTGAAGAGAAAAAAATCGTATTTTTCTGAAAATTTTTTTGCGAAGTTAGGTGATCGCCATATGGCAGCTGATTTAGCATTGCTTCTTTTTGTCTTCGATTATAACCTGGCCGCGAAAGAAATGTGCAAGTCTATGAAGTGCTGCAATTATGGTCTGTACGCAATAGAGTTGAATTAGTTAACCTATTTATTTCATTAATTTTGTATCTTTTTGTATCACATTCAATAACAAGAAAGCAATGAATATGTGTTCTTCTTGAGCTTTTGCTTTTTTCATGTTTCCACTCAATGAGAATATTTGTTCTGTTGAAAGCCAAACATGGGATCCGGTTACAGTTCCCAGGGGAACCAAGGTGCACGGCCCTGTTGTCAAATCCGGGATCGGGTTATACAATATTTTCAAATATAAGGTCAAAGGTATTTGATAGGACACGAGAAGCTAGGAATATCCATAAACCAATGGAATCAGAAAACATGTTCGCTATAGAAGTTTGGGTAAGGGAGGGAAACCGAGGGCCTCAGGAGAGTGCAGCCATTTTTGGCTAGGCAATGGCAAACCTTTAAAACACTAATATGTGATTAGTCAGCTGCTGATTTCGTGGAAGTTCATTAGTTTGCAGCTCTGAAACTACCGCCTGATTGTTGTCAAGCAAACAGCATCGCGCGAGTTAGCCCATTCGAGCGTGATCGAAATTTCGTGAAGCGCCATGCGTCTGCGTACCCCAAACCGATTCTATTCGGTCACACACCTATCGGCAGCATATTCAATTTTTATGAAATTGTATACTCGTGTTTGCAAAAAGCCTGATTCCAAACGTTGATTCGTTTCTCAGACGGAGGAACGCTGTGGGTGACCTCTGGAGTGGATCTGAAGCCGAAAAAAGTTGTCTCAGTGATAAGAAGTTCATGATGGCGGAGGAGATCGAGTGTTGTACAGTGGCGGCGAGCGCCGTTGTACAAACAGCGGTAATCTTCACGAAATATCCCTGGACCTCTACAACACACGTTGGCCGACGTAAAACGGGCACATGAGGTCCACACGTTTGTTCGAGGGAAAAACGTTGCTTTTCACATAATGTGCAGCAAGGCGTAGGTCACTGGCCTTGAGAATTTGTGAAGAAAGGATATCGCAGTTTTAGGCCTTCAGAGGAGACAAATTTATTATTGTTACTCTAGAGTCAGGTGACCGTAGACGTCTCTAACCCCCCTGCACAAAATCGAGTGGATACTTTTGAATGCCTTGGATGAAATCATCACTTAATAAAATCATGAAAGAATTTCATGTGGAAAAGAGGAATCATTCCACCATAAACTTGAAGGTGCAAGACTTGCCTACAGGTTTTCTGACCCAACTCGAAGTTTTGACTTGCCTTTCCATGGTCCCTATCAGACATTTGAGCGCAATTTTAATACAGCTGTCGCGTCAAATTAAGTTTTCGTTCATAAGCCATCTCTCCATCCACTAACGCTTTTTGAACGTGGTAAGTTCTTTTCTAGTCGAGAAGCTGTATGAGGTCGTCGTGTCCGATAGACTCAATTGCCGACGACGTCCCTCTCTGCGCCTCACTGAACAGCTGATTTCGGGAGACAAATCGTGTTTGCAAGTGCATTCAGTCAGCCGCCTGCTGTGAGTCAGAGCTAAGGAGAAAGCGCTATTAGGGCAGAATGCGACAAATGGGTTGAAGAGAGCTAAGAGGAGAAGTGAGGAAAATCACGGGCTCATTCTCAACTGCCCTAATGTGGGACTTATTTGATGGTCATAGCGGTTCACAGACACATGGATTCCAAGAGGCGACGATTCTTTTTCAGACCGGGAGCATCACCTCTCGCTTGATGTTCTTCTAGCATTATACGAGTAGCTAAATGAAGGACTCCATGGCTTAAAGGAAGGGTGTCATTACCTTCGTTCCTTTCCACTAGCCAGCTTCCAAAATAATTAATCCTGTTTATTTACCCTAACTAGAATTTCTACTTCTTTTAAGTTTTTTTTTTCAAAATGATCTAAACATCCTACCATCTCAAACATGAGCCTCATTCTTTTTTAAATGTTTACTGAGATTCGTTTTCAATTTTTGAACAAAATTTGGATGCGTACGGCACTCATACCGAATCAATGAAAATACTTTCTGGCTCTTTTTTCTTTCCTGGCACCAAAGACATTTTCGTTAGTATCGTTCGTTATTGTAAGGTGAGGCGACGATTGGCACTTCAAGCAGACTCATGGAAAGGCGCCAGTCCTGCTGTCAGCACTCGACCTCATCGGTCCAACTTGGCACTTCGACTACAGTCAGCAATGAACCTGCAGGTATTATTCCTACCTTGAAATTATCCTTAACTTTGAATCGAACATTTAACATATATGCTCAGATTGTGGTGGACCGTCCTCATGCCGATCTGCGTGTTTATACCTTGAAGGTCCAAAATTTATTACCAAAAATAGAACACAAAGAAGTGCAAAGAGGGAATCCAAAAAGTGTTCCTTTCTGAACCAACAATATTTCGCTCCTCAACACCTTATTATGGCCTGAAATTTGTAAATTATTTCAGGTCATTTAATATTTTTAAGAACTTTTAATCTTGGAACTGCTCCAAATCGACCTCGTGTGTGGTAAGTTCATAGAAATATAGGCGGTGCACGCTGAGTTGGTTCAAATCCACTAAATATAAACTAATTACCAGTCTAATAATTATTTATAGCCATGAGAAGGTGCAAAGCAGCGAAATATTGCCGGTTCAAGAATAATTGTTTTCGGAATCCCTTCTTCAATCTAATTCATTTCTTTTGATAATAAATTTTTGGAGCATCCAAATCAGCATATGGTAAATAAATAATGAGCTGAATAATTTTATACTTGTAACGAACTCACTCTGAGTTCTTGACGTATTCGCTTCGATTAAAGGGCTTCGCTTTACTCAGGTGTGCTATATGAACGAGCTAGCGGAAAGCGCTTCTGAAAGTGAAGTATCTGAATCGGATGAGGAGTTCATGGTGCCGAAATCTCGCTCTGTACCCAATCTGGAAGGTTTGTTAATGAGTTCTCATGTTGAAAAAAAATGTTTCAGTTTTGACTGCTCTGTTGAAAAAGCTGACAACGCATGCCGATCTCTCGATCAAAAATTCAAGAAATCAATTTTTTGTTTATTGATCTATAATTCGGTTAGAGTCAGAACACATTTCACGCTACGTATCGATTTTTCTTTTCCTTTCTCAATCAGCTCAGGCTATTTTCAGGAACGAGCCGGCCGGGTTCGTCTAAAGAAGATCCGTATTTGCGGAAACTTCGCGATCGAGCCATTCACGAGCAACATCTGGATCCTTGTAAGCCATTCACTTTCACGACTAATTTTCTTTTCAAATATCGATTTGGCCGACGTAATCAATTATAGTCGACATTAATCCATGCCTTAGGGGGTGATACCTCATCTCATATCTCCTCTTCGCTCGTTTTCTATTTATTTCCATGCTTGCCAGCTCAGCCGTTCATTCGTTGGACTGGCTTTTCATGAACAAATCTTAGCTGTCCATTGTTTTTTCGTCGAGGCTGCGAAAATGCCGAGCACAAACCAATGAGGGGAACGGAGAGTGTAAAGGACGAAGAGAGAAAAGGCGAAAAAGAGGCGTTATCCACGTACACACTCAGCTATATGCAGATTTATACCGATGACTTTTACACGGAAGCTTAACGCTCCGAGGGAAGCCTTGCTTACCCAATGAGGTTACACTGCAGCTGGAGGGAGCAGCAACGCTAACACCGTGTTCGATCGTCAAACTTTATTGATAAAAGCCTGGATTAAGCTTGAATGAAGTGAAATCTTCAAATGGGACACCCACTCTTCAAAATCAGTCACTTCCCACTACATCTCTAACTCTACCTTAGGCTTAACTCCTCCGAAAATTCTGTTGGCAATGCGGGCGGGACGCGAAGTGGGAGAGGCAAAGGGCGAGGGGTGAGAGAAAGGGAACACTTGTCCATAAAAACAACAAAAATCTTAAATTTTTTGAAATCTTCAAAAATCAGGTGAAGGTTTGGTATGATTTTCAAAGCTCACTTTTTCTATTTCGATATTTTCTAATTACTATTCCGAAGATACCTGATGCACAGCTAATCCTGCGTCAGGCCAGGACACCTTCATCTATCCTTTTGCCCTACGCTGGCAGGAATGAATTTGCTTCATGGAGGGTGAAACGAATGAGCTGGACTGACACTTGTGACACATTTGAAGGGTTTCCAGAAAGGATATATCTGTGATAAAGAGTTGGCTCAACGCCGGCTTTTGCGGATGTCTTTCCGTCAGTGTGACTAAGCCGTCCGTCACATACGATGGATGATTTAGTGGCGCATGCAACTGGTCTTCTTTTAATTCGACCCCATCAATCACGTGCGTGAGTATTGCCCGGAGCAGTATTGACGCGGCCTTCTTTTCTTCCAGAGCAAGGTCCAGTTTTGAAGAAAAATACAAAGGGCTTGTTGGAACACCCTTTCATTCAAACGTCATTTGTTTCTCCAGGAGACATCAGCAGAATGAGCGGTGACGCCTTCGAATGCTGATTCGGAGTCGATAAGTGGGCCTCCAAGGACGCATTTCCACGCAACTCGATTCACCAGCACATTGACGTGAACAAAAAGGCCCACATGAGTGTTCGCCGGGGCGGATTGTAATTCGAGGAAACGGCTATGGAATGGGGTCTCGAAAGAACGAGATGTCATAAATCACCAGAAGGGACTCGCGCACAAAATATTTCCCTCTAGGGAATGCGGAGGTCCATTCAGGTTAATAGTGTCGTTTTCTTTGTCAGAAGGGATTACTCATTGTGTGGCACCCCTTCTGGATGTGGGGGCCTGAGGTAGTAAAACCACTTTCCGCTCGATGGTGTGCCACATTACAACATTAGGATTTCCCAGAAGATTTTGAATGGTGCTTTCAAAATTGGAAGGAAAACTTTCAGAAACCGTTTTTTTTTTCGAGCTGGAAAAAGTGATGTGCTTGGTCCAATAGTCAAATACTCTGAATATCGGAAGTTCTACCTTCTGAAGGTCGAATTTTGAGAAATTCATATTTCATCCTGGTTGAATAATTTGAATTATTAGTCTTCTTCTCGGGGTTCTCCACTCTGCACCTCTCTATCAAAATAGTAGGAAGTGGCTCACGAGGCATGTTGATATAAGTGAAAGTCGCTTAAATGCCTGGAAATCAGCGTAGAAAAGCCTGCCGTTAATGTAGCGTCACTTGGCCAAATTAGATATTTGGTAATTAAGCACTTCGATCTCGTGCGTCTTGCAGTTCTGAGCGCAAATTCCCGATCAACTTTTATTGATTAGTGGCCTTAGGTCTCCTTAATGGCTTAGTGTTTTCTGTCAAGCCAGTTTTTCAGTGCATCAGTCAGATTACTCTAGCCTGCTTCCACTTCCTGTTCTGAGTCCATTAAGCAGCTCTACACAGAAGCGCTTCGGTGGAAAAGGTTACAGGAATGCAGCACTTCCCTATTCCATTTTTCTTGAAATGTTTCTTACACACTTCTTGAAAACCTGCAGAAGTGGCGCACTCGGTCAAGCATGCATCGGGAGTTCTTGCAAGGGGGTCGTATTTGATTTGTTCGAGGGAGTCGCCGTACTGAAACTAGCTTTAAGGGGTTTGCCATAGATCTCTGTAAAAATTTGAAGGAATTTTTAAAGAACTGTGATCGGAATTGGCTCAAGAATTTTGCCATTTTATTGTTGAACATTCAACCTCTCCACCTCATGCAGAAACAGATGTCGAGACTTATTTCAAAATGGATCAATTTAGTAGAATTTCTGTAACAATATGTTTGACCCTGCGGTGGTCGACCCATCATTATAGGGCAGGGGATCTAAAAGGAAATGTTATCGGAATTCTAGATGGCTTTCGTGAGCTTTAGGGTTATTATGAAGTCAATCAAACGTCCACCTATTAGAATGCAAACCGAAAGGAATTTTCATAATATATTTTGCCTTCAGTTCTGCTTCCATTAACTTTGTTGACATGCCACGGCAAGAAAGAGGAAACGTGGTGGGGATAAATAGTCATTATGCATGAAAATTTGCCCTACTGTCAATACACAAAGCAGCAAATCCACGAGGGACATAAACAGTCTCTGGGAATGCCTAAATTCCCTTGCGCCAAAACAAAGTCTTTTTAGGAATAGGGCCTTCAGAAGGAAAGGGTTCGGGTGCGCTGAAAGCTCTCGAAATTTAGTAGCTTGGTGGTTAGGTTTGGAGGCAGTGTTCATCTATTTATAATCCGCAGTGCATGAAATTGTATAGATGTTGCAGTCTTGACCGGATTACTGTTAAATTCAAGGTCAAACGATGGATTCCTATGGAGCGTTGTGGTAGTAGAAGTCATTGTAACATTTCTCTTTGGTCTACAGTATCAAATTTCACTTTTTGTTTCAACATTTCAATTTCATTTTGGACTCTGATGTGTTGTTCCCTTTTTATCTTATGCATAAAGATAAGAGTACCACTAAATGCTTCAATGATGTAAATTTAACACTTATAGGTGAACGTCGGACGTTACTCCATGCAGAGACGAAAACTGTGGTGCTTAACGCGAAGAAGGCTGCGCAAACCGCTTTGGCACGGTACAGAAGGTGAATCTGCCTAAAAATTTCTTTCAGCTATCTACGTCAAGTGATAAATAGTACAAACAAATGGGCTTGACGAGCTATTCTCTATTGACGAGAGCAGTAACTTTTTGAAAGCACATTTAGCCCAAATTCTGCGTTTGGTTCTAAGGCTGATACTAACATCTTCCTTGTAGTATGTATGTTACTAACACACATTTACTATTGAACTAAAAATGACCAATTTTTCATCATAATTGGATAGTGGTTTAGTACGAAGTCGAAAGCGAGCGGTGTACCTCGTCAAGCACGTCAGTACCTCAGGAAAATGTCCATGGCCGAAGTGTTACGAATCAAGGAGACTATGGAACAAGCAATATACCGTTAGTTGACCATTACCTCATAGTAGACCTTACCATATAGTAATGCAGTCGGAAAGTGCTGCGATTCAGACGCAGTCTGTTGCTCAATTTGCAACCAACTGAATCAAATGCGCTAATACGCTTTCAACGGATGGAGCATTAAATTGATGAAAAGATCAAAATTGAATTCATAAAAAGTACTTATATAATATTTGCAGCCTGGTTAATGTTACTGTACCACTGGAATAAGCAAGTACTTGTAATCACATTCTCCTAGAATTTCCGTTGAACCACCAGCACCTGAGGAATGGTGGAGTTCCTCAATGGCTCTCTTCGTTCCGATGAGCAACTTCCGTAAAAACAATTTTCAGCCTCCCGGCGTAATCCAATTTCCAATTTTTGCATTCCGATTTCCTTCATCTTCAACCATATGCACTGGGATACTGTAGGGTGGAAAATTTCCTGTTAGAGCCTTTTTTGAGGATTGAAAAGTGTATTCAATAGAACTTCGTATTTTTATTTTTGAACTGAGTCAAACTGTTTTTCCGAATGCCCTGGATAGTCTCACATGTAATCCAGATGTTTCTCGATTCCTAGAGAGACGCCCACGTGCTCGGGGTAATGGGAACCACCACGTTTTCTATCGTTCGGCTGTAAACTGAAGCGTTATGTTCACCACCGCTTCCGGGCAGTCATCATTGTTGTACAGCTAATTAAAGGGTAGTTCCACCTTCAAATCACAGCTGTAGTCGGAGAGCAGTAACCTCCGGCGTGATGGATGGGTTTTAAGGGTAAACTTGCTGTTCCGGCTCGCTTCCACTACTCGCGGTTCAGGCTGAATACGCGTTTGACCTTACCACAAACCTGAATGCAAGACTACTGTTTGAAAAGAAGGTGTAACGCTTCACTTCTTGAAGTACTATGCTTACCAGCAACCTTGCGCATATTTGCCGTACAATTTAGTGCCTAGAATCTTGTTGGCATCTGCAACTGTAAAATAACAAAAATAGCACTGCTCACCTCAGAACCATGGGGAGACATTATGCGCAGCGATTCGTTGTGTGCTCTTGGGAAGCGTCACCCACCCTAGTGCTCCCAGTGAGAATCAAGGCGATTTGGACTACACGGCTAATCGGGACGGGTCGCTAGCAGGACGGGAATCAGAACTAGCGGGAGAAGAGAAGATCGCTGGGTGGATGGCAACGTTTTCTCCCTTCTTGGTAGCAAATACCCGACCTCTGGAAATGAAAGCCTTGGTTTTCTCTGCAGAATTTCATGCGGGATTTAGTCCCTAGACCGCAAGCTTGGCATTGCGCCACTTCTCATTGTAACCTCCCCCGACCTGTACATAATACCATCGAAAATATGCTTCGTTAAAAGCCTAAAGCCGTCAGTAAAGAAATAATTCTAACCGACATTTGCTATTTCAGCTCGTAGATATACTGTGGAATTGGAAGCAGTGGGGCAACCAAACTCATCGCTTATGAAAACGTGATTTCTGCGGTAGTAATCCTGGTTAGATTCGAGGCAGGGTCAACCTTACGTTGGTACAAGTACTAGCGGGGGGTCGTACTTGGTTTAGCTTGGAGGGGGTCGTACCCACTTCAGTCGCTTGCAATCACGTGTGGGATTGAGGTGAACTAATATATCGTGGGTAGTAGGCTGGGCGAGTGGAGGGGCGCAGGATAAAAATTTGCCGTTTCAGTGGGCGTATATACCTCTCTAGGAAAGGAAGTAGTGGGAGGTTAGGTAAAAAATGGGTTGAAATGGTGGAAATAGGAAGAAATTTTCGGAGATATTTACCGTTTCAGTGTGACTATACACCCCCGCTCGACGGTATTTTTTGAGGAAAAAATGGGCGGGGTTTGGTGAGTTGAGTGAGTGGTATCAAAATTAAGTACTATAGAGACGATGATGGTTGTCGAGGTGTCGAAAAGGGGGTCGAACCAATTCCACCTTGGGGGAGGAGGGTCGTAAAATTTTTCAGAAAGTTACAACGATAGAACCGACCCTGGTTCGGTCTAACTTTAATAACGTGAACCTTAAACTTGATACTAACCGTGCAATCACTCATTAGTTCACCATTTGAATGCAAAAGGAATTGGAGCGTTATTTGCCAAACGGTCTAGTATGTTAGTCAACAGTCTAATTTTAGGAAAAAATCTTGAACTGGTCCAGTTACTAATCGAGCGTGACAGTCTTCACATGGAGCATGACTCTTTACTGGTTGATATCGATGATTTCACAGAGCACGAAACAGAGGTAATTGCATGCTTCACATTTCGTTGCACATGGGATAACAAGGTTCAGACATTGAAACAGACTGTATGTCATGTACTATTAAGGAATAGAACGTTACCAATCTATGCTTTGAGGAGCGATATTCACCCCTTTCTTCAATCTCCACTCTAACAGAGCATATAACTAGCAAATCTTTTTCACTGCGATTATCTTGCTCTGGGCTGGAGTTGTATAGTGGCACATTACCATTTGTATCCAATGGTTAGAGAGTCTGTACTACAGATTTCACTACAAGTGACGGCAGGCTCCAAAGAATCCAAATGATCAGTAGTTTGTAGTGATAGTTAGTAATTGGTACTTGTAATTAGCAATAACTGATAGATTATAACTGCAACTGGATGATTGTTTTGCTTGTAGAAAAATATAACATTGTGGAGGCCGTCATAATACATCGCCTGAGAGATTACAAACGCACTTATTCTTTAGTTGAAGAGCGCTCCAAAAAAATTCGGTCAAAATAACTCCCTCCCAATCACGGTCCTATAACCCACCAGCCCCATTTTCTTTCGCACTGCTTGAAACTACCCGACTCCTTCCGAAAACCAAAAAATACGTTCAGCGCGAAGAGGGTCTTCCACTGCTAAAGACGAACAGGGAAGAGCCGAAATCTCCGTAGAATTTTGCTTCATTTCATTAAAAAAAAGAAAGCACTCAGCGCAGCGTTGATCTTTTTTTGGAATGCATTACTCTACTGTCCATTAAAAACTGTAGCATTTCAGTATGATTTGGCCTATCCAATGACTGATGCAGGCCAGGCCATGCATAAGTCATCGTTTCCATCTTCCCAGACGGGCCTGCCAATAATTTAGTGACCGCGACAGGAGGGAAGGCTTGGTTTGGCGTTCGAAACAGGATTTTAATCCTGATCATGGTAAGGCCGGAGTCAGACTTTGCGAATCGACCGATTCGCTAGCAGCGGACAGCGATCCACAAAGTTTGACGCCGGGCTAAGCACACCACTTGCCGCAATGCCACTTATGCCCTATTTCGTGAAAATCCCACGAAAATTATGATCATCATGCAAGAAAACCTCCAAGTCCCAACCAGATTTTATCCGAAAATTCATTGCCTATGCCATCCAACGCGAACACTCGAGAGCAGCAAATATCACTCTCTACAGACGAATCCTGGACTATGGCTTCCTATGGCTGCATTTGTGCATTAATGGGTCTCCGCAGTTAATTCTACGAACCATATCAGAAATGCTAGTAAGATCCTCATTGGAAGTCGAATGCGTGGCACGTCATCATACTGAATTAATCGGCGCCGAGTGCCTTATCCTTCACTATCCTTGTTGAGATGGAAGTTTATCTCCCTCAAAGCTCATAGGAAATCATTTGCTAATCAAATTTTTTTACTGACATCTCACCACTTGAGATCATTTTCATATAACAACTGAGAACAGTAGATGCTCAAAAAAGCTGTGAAGATGTCAACTATAGGCCAAATACACATTAATACGTTGAAGACATTGTGTGTTTTGTCGTTTTTCGCCGCGTGGGACAGGAGCGATTTTGTGAGCTCGCTGTCCTCGCCATCCTTACGCTTATTTTCTGCTTGAAATGCCCAAAAATTGGAATCTCACACAATTATTTCAGCAAGGATGAAAGCGTAGAGGTCACCCGTATAGATATCAGTAGAAGTTTGTTTAGAAGAACTCACAATGATTACGAAGAAGCAAAATTCCACTTCCGCTGCGAATAAAGAAAGGAACATTTATACCTTGGTTTTTCCATCGATTGCAGTTACTTGAAACTCATAGAGACTCGAATTAACCTCCTCTACAATCTCATATGAATGTTTGCAACAGTGAAAGGAAAACTGAGACAGAGGTGAACTGAAATTCTCTGAGATCAGAAAATCCTTGCTAAATCAAGGCATATTTGACCAATCTAGCGGGCATCTGGTTTATAGTTACGCTAATTCATTATCTATATAAAACTCGTGCAGAAAGACACAAGCATCATAAAAATGAGTATAACATAGTTCTGACGCGCATGCTCGTCGGCCTGTCGTCAACGTGTTAAGATCATAAGCACTGAGTTTCTTTTTCTCCTCCTCAGCGATTCGCGCACAGTCGCAGGGTCCGCTGGAGCATTGAGTTTTTAAATACTAAAGAATAAAGCATTCAGCGTTGATCAATGCTTGATACAAGTGAGGCATAACATTATTGCATAGTAGTTGTGACCCAGCTCGAACCAGAAAGGTCGAAACGGGACACCACATATAGCAACGTATGAGCATATCCACGTATCTCTTTGAGCAATTGCTAATATTTATCAAAATGGCCCCTATGAACTTGGCAATTTTTTTGAAAAGTACCCTACAAAAATTGACCCTTGCTCGCATGACACAGCTCCTTCAAAACTTCATCTCATACTTTTTAGAGAGCAGCTGTTAGCGATTCGTACCAACTCTACTGTTTCGCGCAGCTCTCCAGATTTAGTACAGACCATAGTAAATATCCGCTACACTCAAGTCGGAGGTTTTTGGAGGCCAATATTTGTGCAGCCTGAAGTTGGGCAAATGGGCCCTACAGCAGACTCACAAAATTTGATCCATGAGTCGGTATAGCGCCCTATTAGTGAGTCCAATCGTTTCGAGTAGTGAAGTTGACGGGAGCTTTCTTCAGAATGCTCCTTAAATAGCACTTGGCTTGAGATTTACTCCCGCATTTTCTCGAATGAAAGCATGGTTGTCCATGAGAAATATCTAAGGTGTTCTTGTCGGTGCAAACACGAGCTCCGTTCGTGGTCTGCGCCACGAGCCCGTGAAGTTTTTCTATCGTTTATGGTGTTTATAAGCAAGGGTCCCAAGCTTTTTACGTAGAACTCTTGGCACCGTTCATCCTGATAGTGTCGAATCTGTGGCCAATTTTATCATGATCCTCACTAAATCGCAGTGGATACTTTTCTTGACAATATTCACAGCTACAATTTGTCTTCGAATCGCCTTCTATGAGGAAGGCCATCATGTGTGTTGCAAAATTGAGTGTATACCGCTTGGCGATACGTTCTTCGAATTCGGCTTAGCTCGGAAGGACTCCTCCCGGCAATGCGTGGACTAGAAATCACACTCGCTTTGGTTCACCCTAATTGTTGCCATTTACCAGATAAGGATCACGGTACCATGAAATCATAGAATTATAATACATACAACAGATGATGGTGAATCTGCAGGTCTAGTCATGAGCTCTGCCCATCGTTCAGTGAATGCATTTGCTGTAGTTCAATCTTGTCACCATATTCATGTCCACCCTGTAGGACGCGCCACTTCCGTTCAGAAACGAAGCAGCATTTGAATGCGATTTCACTTGATCAGTGCTTAAGGGAGTATTACTATTTTACACAGGAATTATGAAATGGGAGGTAATGCGTTCAGCTGGTCATTTGTATTTTATCTTCACTTCAGTACTCCGGATTGGTATTGAAGTAGTTATTGAGCAAGTATAGCATTGGACGTATGTGATATATGAATGAACAAATTCTTTTCAGTGTTCGGCGCTGGACTTTCCTCACTTGCTTGGTATAATGGACGGATTGATAACGCCAGCGTCAAGAGTTGATCCGAATACGTTGACGCCGAACACTGGCCTCGTGTCACCAGGCCAAAACGGGGCTCCGACGCCTGCCCCGACTCCGACCACTCCAACGAAAGCATTTGTCGCCCAATTACCAAAATCTCTCTCACGATTCGTGCTCTTCCGACGCTGAACGCAGTAGCCATCAGAGTGCAATTTTGAGATTTTATTTCAATTTTTTTTGAATAACGCATTTTTGAGCGTTTAATTCAACACGTAAGTATGTGTGAGTGTTGAAAGTTGTTTTCACTGCTGAGCAATAAATTCAATAGATAATAAATATACTTATTTATGTTCTGCGCGCACACAAGAATCGCTGAGCTGGAGGTGAGAAGGTGCTCAATGTTTGATTCACCTATTTCTTGAAAGCTCTGCTTTCAATGCAGTCGCATGTTGAAAAAAAGCAAGAATCAGGATTTTTGTGTCAGCCGAGCACTGTAGAAGGCTATCTTTACTCGCCGGGTTGAACATGGACTTCACTCCGATAGAATTAATATCAATGTACAGAAAATGAAATTTGAATATTTTGAATCAAGTGAGGACTGCGGGCACCATCCGTATAAAAGCGAGTAGGACCTGCACTAGAACTGATGCACATGTCACCTCGCAGGACATAAGAATGCTGAGAATGAAGACCCACTCTGGTGCTAACATCAGTCTCCATACATGTGAAGTCAGCTGACTTGTGAAACATGTGTCATAGCTTCCTCTAGGATAAATAGCGCGACCAGTGCAGAATCGAAATGCCGCAGCCACCTGGCCAGATAGAGTATGTGGTTACATAACGGAAGTTGCAGATGCACGAAAAAGGAAGCTCCTAGAAGTCGTCGTGCGAAACTCTGAAGTGTCTGTTAGGTGAGTCAGCCGCTTTGGTCTCGGCACTCGAAAAGCACTGTTAAACAGCTTTTACATCACCGTCCTATCAATGTTCGCTCTGCTATATAACATTTTGGATATCTATTCCGTCTCCAGGCACGTGATAGATTTTCAGAACCCACGTTTCCTGCGTCACTGTGTACAGAGTGAAGTATAAGCTACTTTTGAAAGATTTACGAAACAGGAACTGAAATAACAATGGTTGGATTAGTGAGAGTAATCCTGTTGAGTCTCGTCTGCCTAGCCACAAAGGATAAACATATGCTAACCAACTTTCGAGCATTCTTGAAGAGTGAATGTACCACTTTCTGGCATGAGTGAATTCAAGCACTCAAAAAATGATAAGAATATTTGGTATAAGTGATGGGAATGCGTCCTTCAATGCATCGTGTCTTTACTAACATAAATTCACATAGTTAGAGTGGTGAAGTTCCCACGACTGAAACTCACCTAGTGCAGCTGCTTGATTTGGCGTTTTCTTCATGCAGTGGTTTCAAAGGAAAACAGTATTTGGAATACGTATCTGCATAATCCGTGGTTGAACTCTCCCAAA